CTTCTTTTTTTTTTTTTTTTTGGAAGGACCACCTATAGAGCTGTGATGTTTGTCCAGTTTCCATGTTCTTTTGGTCTTCGGCCTGTCTGAGGCTGCCAACAAATGTGTTAATTGCTCTGGTTTTGGTAATGTGGACACCTGTCCAGGACAAAATGAACTGACATCAGTAATTAATTTCAAATTTATTGAAGATGGAGGTTCTTCCTTCTTCTTCCTTCCTGTCAAAAATTTATTTTTGCTTTCCATAGAATGTGCCACCTTATTGACTTCGACAGGGTTTCCTGGATGTAACCAAGATGGGTTCTTGTTGATAGCTGAAATAAAATAATATATTCTGGAATTTGCCTTGAGAATAAAATACCCTCAGGCCAGATACAGTTTCAATGTCAGCTTTTAAAAGTACCCTCAGAGGATCATCAAGGAATAACCTAAGTCTAAGAAGTTTTTGCTTCCTCAGCACTTATCTGCTTGTCTCCTTTCTACACAATTTTTTACCTAACTGACCCAGTGAGTCTAATATGCAATTTCTGTAGAAATGATTCTTCCACTGCCATCAGTGTCGTCTGTTAGGATCGACATTGAATCAACTGCCGCTGAGTGGCAGAAGCATGCGTTTGGTGCAGTTGGATGGCACGTTTGTTTTCATTTGAATTGCTGTGGATATCTTCCCTTGTCAAAGGGCGAGTTACCAACATTGTCAACAAAATCACATAAGCTATGCTTTCTAATTGTGTTTCTTCCTCTAAGACTATGAACATGTATATTTTCGAGGTGGAGCTCAGTGGAGCTCAGCCATTTTAGTCTGCAGAGAAGGACGTGGAACTGTCTGCTTCAGAAATGCTCTTTGAGTTCAAGCTTTGGTACTACCTTTCTTCCTAATTACAGAAAGAAGTGCTCACGACTTCACAGTCTACTGCAAAGCTTCAGTCTAGTCCTCCAGCAGGTCTATTAGGTCTGTATGGACAGTGTTCTGCTTCCTTTGGTGGAAATAAGAGATCCCTTAAGAAAAGATTTGAAAACAAATGCTACTGAGCGATGATACCAGGAACCTGCTAAAAACGTAGACAATTTAATAAGTGAGAGAGCATTTTGCAAGATTCCTGAAATACGAGAATTGTTTTCCTTTGAAGATTGTTCTTGAATTGTGCTTTGACTGTTACACTTGAATAAATGTTTGCATTTAGATTTCACGCAGAACACAAACGTGAAATATTACTTGTAGAAACTCTAGATAATGCTTTAATTAAAAAAGTCAAACTTGTGGACCTAATTTGCTGCATATTTTCTTGTGCTTCTGCCTTGAAACTGTGCTGTAAACTTTCTTAGCTTTCTGCTAATCCTTGGTTTTAGTCAGGCTGAAAGTGCCATGAAAACAGAGAAAGACTGCATATTTTCTTGGTTTTCATTCCAGGCAAAACAAGGAGGTAGAAGTGAATACAGAAATGTTGACCTAACTTTGTTAAAAATGAAAATTGATGTGAAGTTTTGCATATTAGTGTAGCGATTTTCTTATCTGTTTCTCAACCTTGAAATATTTTGGTCTCTTTTCAACCATTCAGAATGTCAGTTTTAAAGATATGTTGGTATTGTTCTTCAGTGAAAGTTATGATTTAAGTATGTTCACTCTGTGGGTGCTTTCAAATTCCCCAGGTGCAGATTGCAAGCATGTTGAATTTAAAATACAAATATTTTCCAAAGCTGTAATTTATGTAGTAGGTGTTTGGTGACTCTGAGTTAGGGGATACAGCTTGGGTTGGAACAAAGCCTAGAAGCTGTATTTTGGTTGTGCTAGCATATTGCAATGGCGGAGGAAAACAAGGAAGGAAGGAAAGAACAAAGATCTCAACAAATCTGTCCATGTTGTCATCGTTACTAATCTGCTTTCTTTAGACGTATCTCAAAGTATACTGATCCTTGGTTATGCCTGAGTGCTTTGCAATATAATGCTAGAGGGAAGTAATATTAAAATCTAGATCATTCATTTATTTTATAAGCTGTATACATACTTGTCACCTCAGTCACTGAGTTGTTGTGGGAGTCTACTGTCGACCACTCAGCCAGGATGATGACACTGATAAATGATTCTACAAGAAGTTAAGGGATATCTCTAGATCAGCTGCCCTTGTCCTTATGGGTGATGTTAACTTCTAAGACATCAACTGGGAATATCATACAGTGGACACAAACAGGTCCAGGGAATTTCTGAAGCACGTGGAAGATACCTTACATCAAACATTTGTTGTTTGTAAACAGAGAGAAAATTGTGGGCGAAGTGGTGATTGATGGCTGTCTTGGTCACAGTGACCACGAAGTAGCTGAGTGTCAAAAGTTGATGATAGGAGAAAAACTGCCAGCAAAACTTTGAGCTTGGATGTGGGGAGAGCAGACTTCAAGCTGCTGGAGGAGCCAGTTAGTAAGGTCCCCTGGGAATCTGCTTTTGAAGATCTTGGGGTCTATGAATGCTGGTCACTTTTTGAGAGCCATCTCTTAAGAGTATGGGAGCAGGCAATTCTAAAGTGCCAGAAGTCAAGCAAGTGGGGCAGAGGGCCAGCTTGGCTGAGCAGGGATCTTCTTCTAGAACTTAAATGGAAAAGGCAAGTGTACGGACGTTGGAAGCAAGGATGGGCGACACGGGAGGACTACAGAGATGCTGTTTGCCACAGTAGGGAGAAAATTTTTTGCGGCCAAAGCTCGATTAAAGTTCAAGCTGGCCAGCACTATGAAGAACAACAAAAAGGGCTTTTTAAAATATGTTAATATCAAAAGGAGAATCAAAGATAGCATTGGGCTGTTGCTTGACGAGGTCGGTCACCTCACAAATAGGGTTGTAGACGAAGCGGAGACATTTAATGCCTTCTTCGCCTCTGTCTTCCACACTGATGATGGCCCTGGGAACCCTGGAGCCCTGTGCTGGAATACTGTGACTAGGGGAATGATAAACTCCCAGCTGACCCTGAACTTGTTTGAGACTTGCTGCTCCAGCTGCATGCACGTAAATCTATGGGGCCTGATGGGATTCATCCCAGGGTACTGAAAGAGCTGGCTGATATCATTGCGGGACCTCTGTCCATTATTTTTCAATAGTCTTGGGAGTCTGGAGACATCCCAGTCAATCGGAAGCTGGCAAATGTTGTCCCAATTTTCAAGAAGGGTAAGAAGGAAGACCCTGGTAACTGCAGGCCTGTCGGTCTCACTTCAGTGCCTGTTAAAATTATGGAGAAGGTTATTCTGGGAGTTGCCAAAAAACACTTGAGAGACAATGCAGTCATTGGTCATAGCCAGAATGGATTCACGAGGGGAAAGTCTTGCTTAACCAACTTAATTTCCTTTTATGACAAGGTCACGCATAGTTGACAAAGGGAAGTCGGCAGATGTGGTGGTTTTGGAGTTTAGCAAAGATTTTGATACTGTCTCTCACAGTATCCTTCTGGATAAACTGTGCAGCACACAGCTGGCCAAGCCCGTAATACATTGGGTGAGCAATTGGCTGATGGGCGGTGCTCAAAGGGCTGTAGTAAATGGGGTTACATCAGGCTGGCGGCCAGTCACCGGTGGGGTTCCCCAGGGCTCAATTTTAGGGCCAGTGCGCTTAAATGTTTTTATAAATGATGTGGATGCAGGAATGGAATGTACATTGAGTAAGTTTGCCAACGATACTAAACTAGGAGGAGCTGTGGACTTCCTCGAGGGTAGAGAGGCCTTACAGAGAGATCTGGATAGACTCCAGAGCTGGGCAATCACCAACCATATGAAATTTAACAAGAGCAAGTTCTTTATTCTCCACCTGGGATGAGGCAGTCCTGGTTATACATACAGATAGGTGGACAAAAGGCTGGAGAGCAGCCCCGTGAAAAGAGATCTAGGGGTTTGGGTTGATGGCAAGTTGAATACAACTCAACAGTCAGCCAAAGGGGCCAGCTGTATCCTGGAGTGCATCAAGCACAGCATCGCTCGCCAGTCGAGGGAGATGATTGTCCCACTCTACACTGCTCTGGTGTGGCCCCAGCTCAAGGAGTTTAAGATGCCTCGATAGAAGGAGGACATCATACTATTAAGAGTGTGTCCAGAGGAGGGTGACCAAGATGGTGAAAGGCCTTGAGGGCAAGACTTATGAGGAGCGGCTGAGGTCATTTGGCTTGTCACCTTGGAGAAGAGAAGGCTGAAGGGTGACCTCATCACAGTCTATAACTTCCTCAAGAGCGGCAGCAGAGGGGGAGGTGCTGATCTCCTCTCCTCTCTCTGGTGAGCAACGATGGGACACAAGGAAACAGAATGAAGCTGCATCAGGGGAAGTTCAGGTTGGACATTAGGAAAAGATTCTTCACTGAGAGGGCAGTTGGTCACTGGAACAGATTCCCCAGGGAGCACCAAGCCTGAGAGAGTTCAAGAAGCATCTGGGCAATGCTTAATCATATGATTTAGTTTTAGGTAGTCCTGCAAGGAGCAGGGAGTTGGACTTGATGATCCTTATGGGTCCCTTCCAACTTGAGATATTCTATGATTCTACAATCCTATTTTGAATATACAAAAGTTGACATTACACTTTCTGGTTTTATGTTTATAAATTCTGTTTCATGATCAAGAAATATTTCATATACTTGTTAGTTTTAGGAATGAGATTCTTGTAGCCTCCCTCCGTTCCTTACTTTTAAAAATTTTTTAAAAAAATTTAAAAAAAAAAATTAAAAAAATTTTAAAAGTTTTGGAAAGAAACAAAAGAAGAAGATGATTGTGGTTTTTCCCTATGATATACTGATGGAAAGGAGCGTAAACCATCCATTTATTTGTGCAAATCACATTCAGGAGCAGATTATATCTCCCTTTTATGTACTGGCTGGCATATGCATATAAAAAGTGGACAGATGAGGCACAATCCTTTTTATTGCATCTTTCATCTCAACAAGCTTATTTGTATTAGTCATAGGAATAAATTAGATGTACAAACTGTAGTCTGTCTTTTAATGAAAAAAATTGGGTTTTTGTCTTTTTAATTTCGATAGGAAATAGTTCTGGTTGTCTTTTTTGGTGCTGAATATGTGGTCCGATTGTGGTCTGCAGGCTGCAGGAGTAAGTACGTTGGCTTCCAGGGAAGAATACGGTTTGCCAGAAAGCCAATATCAATTATCGGTAAGATTTAAGCTTTTTTTTTTTTTCTTAACTTTGCTATTATCGTCTGTTTTAAAGTAAAGATGTCAGCTACTACAGAGACCATATTGCAATTCTGAGCTATGCTGTCACTCAAGCATTTAGCTGCTTTGTGAACCTATGCAATTATTTCTCCTTTTGAATTGCTAGAACTGAACATTTAAAATGTGGCTGTGAGACACAGGCAGACATCAGCTTAAGAAAGGCAAAATTGTAAAGTGAAGAAATCTTTACTAACTCTACTTGCATAATTGGAGAAAACAAGATTTTGAACACAAAATCCTTCCTTAGGTCTGCTGTAGAAGGTAAACAGAAAGGTGAGTATAAATTGGGAAAAACATGGAAATGTGCGAAGTATAACTCAGGAAACATTCCCCTGGGTAGTACTAACTATTGTGGGTAGCGTCTCTGGATTTGGAGAGAGTTTAGGGGGAGAGGTGACTAACAGAATCTGTGGAACAGTGAGGAATTAATAAAAGGTGATGTTCAGACAAATTGTAGTAGACCATAAAATCAGCATTTCTGGTTTAAGTCTGTGATTTTATATAGAGTCCAGTAGAGCTGCGAATTTTATGTTACTCAAACGTCAACTCATTGAGTTTTAAGTAGAGCAAAATGGGAGAGGTGAAAAGGGGAGAGGATGAGCTGGTGTTTCCTTAACCACCTGTGACTTTATGAAACTTGGTACAAAAACTCAGGCAACAACATATTCTACTGTACATCTAGATGTGAGTAGTGAATAGTGTGACGAAGTACTGTACTCAGTTTTGGATAATTGAGAAAGAAGTGTTTCATTACATAAAAACAAATTATTCAGAGGCTTCTACAGCTGATCTAGTTATGATCTAACCATGAAACCTGTAGGTAACTTTTTTCTCCTAATCATGTTCTTGACTTCTCTTTCAATTAATAAATGCTTCTTAGGTAGGTATATTAGAGTACATGAGTGCAGGAGAAAATGTGGCAATCCCATTAAACTGTGATTTCAACTTGATAGTGGTTTTATATACTGGTATTGTGCATCTACCACAGTAGACATTAATGTTTGTATAGCCCTTGGAGAAGACACGGTCGTTTTTGTTAAGAAAAGACTGCAGCTGGTTGTACATTCAAAGGTATCAGTACTGGTTTTACATTTAAAATTCCCCTAAGAATACTATACAAAGTCAAGGTTGGTCTGTACATATCAATTGCAGATGGAACTGTGTCTACACTAATCCAAATAGCAAAACTTGGGAAATACATTTGCTGGGAATGATAGAATCATACTGATTCATCCTATCATTTTCAAATCAACCAGAATAAAATACAAACACCAGAAAAAGCAATTAAAGGATTAGAACAGAATGTAAAAAATAAGGTGTTCATTTTACTTTTGCGTTAATACAGAAGTCTTTATTTTAAAATCAGAAAATATGATTGAAATGTCTTTGATCTCAGAGACACTTCTTTTATGGATTTTTATCCAGACTAAAGTTTGGATTAATTCTTAGAAAGTTCAACTTGGGTAGCAATTTTGAACTTGTTTAATTTCTCCTATTCTCTTCCCTTTTTTCCCTTCTCTAATTGTAAATAAAATTTATTTTGGTGCTTATTAACAGAAAGAAATTTAGTAGTCAAGCCTAGTTATTACTTTCTTTTATAAACGTGTTTGATATTATTGCATTCCATGCTGCATAAAATAGTATGTTAACATGCAACTTCAATAACGGGGGAAGGAAAATGTTAAGATAGGACACACTATTTCTTGAATGGTGTTTTAAAATTTTATCTAAAATGGAAAATGATGCAACTCCTCTACCTTGTAAATAAAATTTTTTTATTTCTTAGGTAGATTTTCTGAAGTTAGCGTAATTTTTCTCCTCTTTGCAGACAGATTATAGGTGATTACATGTAAGTGAGAAAAGACAATTCTATAATTAAAGAATCTGTCAGGAGACATAGATTGAATTAATTCCCAGGATACCAAGAAACCCTGGAAGAATGACTTTGTCTCTCCATGCTTCTCCATTCCCTAGTTCACAGAATGAGCGTGTTTAAAGAGTGAGCAGTGCTCAGGTACTACGGCAGCAGCAGTAATAGTGATACCTTTCCTAAATATTGATTTAACACTTCCGTTACTATTTCAGTAGTGTTAAGTTAAGAGCTAAATGCTTCTGAAAATCCCAACCTAATTAGAGTTTTATGAAAGGCAGGTACCAAGCACAGGCAAAATCAAGAGAACGTCCTTTCACAACCTCTTTTATCCTTTTGTTATTGTTCCAGAAAATGTCACAAAGAACCAATTTATGAATTATCTTTTGTTTCTCCTGGTTTTGACAGCATGCAGTTTGAATGACATAAGGGGGACATAAGTTACTGGTGTAAAGACCTGAGTCCGCATATGTGTGTGCATCTCATATTGTCCTTAAGTAAAGGACAACAGAACTTTATTTATGAGCACCTTTAATTGGTTATGTATACAGCTCTGAAAAAAGCATCAGCACCTGGTATATAAAGCTCCAGTTACCTTGTATAAACCTAATTTATGAAGTGCTGATAGAACACAAAAGTTCAGCAAAAAAGAATGTGATGTAAATCAAATACGTGCATATAATCTGTTTAATTTAAGTCCTTATGGACATCATATTCTCTCTAGACTACCAAGAACACACCTGCAAGCTGAGGGCTATTTACATTCTGTAAAATACTATGGCAACTAAAAATTAAAATACAAATGCAAATATTTTTACTGTTTTAAATTTAGAGAGGATTACTTACTTTTAATCAAAAAGCTGAGAATTGCATACTAGAATGTACACTTGTGAGAACATTAGAAATAAGTCAGCAATTTGCTCAAAAAAAAGCAGTACTCGGGTAGGCTGCATTATAGGTGTTACTGTGTGCTGTGTTGAAGTTTATGCATAACTAAGCAATATTTCACTGGCAAGCTGATTTTTTAGATAAAAATGCAGCTGATTGGAATTTCTCAAGGATTCAGAACAGAAGAGGAAGCCATGGGGACAGAGGACTAGCAGTGGATGAGGTTTTCAAAACTGTGTACTACACATGCTAAATTGCAGGGAATGTGATTTATGTAGGTCTGTCATCTACATATCTAATGCACATATTATACAGAAGATGCTATGTCATTTTTGTCCCTCTACACCTTGTGTATGTACAGACATGTTTGCAAATGTGAGTAGGTAGAACGTTTGAGAAGGATCTCCACATACCGCTGTTTATAAATTACTGGAATTCAATTTTTAAAATTACCAAGCCTTCCTGACACTTTCTTTTTTAAAAGCTAACATAAACACTAATGTAATGCTAATCTAAATACTAATGCTTGTTAGAGTTGAGAAAGTTATTTAAATAAATGTTGGCTCTTTATCCTGATATTTTCCATGCCTGCTTTAGTTTGAGTCTTGTGGAGGCATTTCATGCAAAATGTTTAAGCTGTTCCTGAAAAAGGCAATTCTGGTGATTTCCTATGGAGAAGCACCAGCACTTCCAGGCTTTGAAGCAGAGAATGAGAAAATAGCTTTTTGATTGTCACTGAAAATCAACTCCAAGCTGACAGACTACACAAGTCTCTGAAAAACTGGTAGCTTGTTTATGCTTAAAATACCCTGCTAGAGAATGTTGCTTACATTCTTCAAAGATTCAATCTGCAGTGAGTCTGCACAATTCAAATTCCAGGTTTCTCTGAGCATCAGTGCTAGGGCTGGATGTGAAAAATCTGTTGATTTTGTTTTTATAGTGCTCTTCTTGAAACTGCCCAGGGCACATGGAAAGGGAAAATACCAAGCTCAAATGCTGAGGTGAAGTGTGGTGGGGTAGGAGGAATGGACTGGGACACAGAGGCTCAATGAAATGGCAGGAGGATGGATGCTGATGTAAGGGCCTGGGAGAAGGACGTGTAAAGAGACCTGCAAGCAAGCAGGAGGTTGAAGGAGAAAAAAAATAAGGGCTGAAAATATGTGGGAGAGAAAGGTGGCAGTGTAAGGGCAGAAGGATATGCTGAAGACCTGGAGTGTAAAAATAGGACTGTTTGAACCAGTAAACTGGGATTAGTATGAGAAGCTTAAAGATTGGAAACGGGCATGAAAACTAGGAACAGAGAAGAAGCAGAGCTAGAACAACAGGTTGGGGCCGGGGAGAGGGAAATTAAATATCTCTACCATGTAGAACACATTTTCAGAAAAGTGGAAAGTACAGATGAAAAATCTATGTTACTGTCACTACCTTATTGAAACTCATTTCCTAAGTGTCAGTCTTTTCCTCCACCAGTGCTGGTCATTGAATGGATGTGTGTGTCTGATAATTTACTAAGGACATCGAGTGCATCATTGCCTAAGGGCAAAGGTCTGTATTATGATGTGATGGGAAGAAAATCCTCCCTAAATTCCGAGTGTTTACGAATGTGTGTTCACACATATACATGATAAAGGAACATCATAAAAAATTTGAAGGGTCAGGTACTCAAAAGTTAAGATTATCCAAAAATGGAAGGTCCTTCTGTAGCCTTAACTTATCCCTCTCTATATTTATACTCATTTTCATAAATATACAATTATTGCAGTATAACCTTTAAACTGATTGAGTGCTATCCCTTGGGGAAGAATCCTGCTTTTACAGGAAAAATCAGACCGATGCAGGAAATTATTCCAAGTCAGAGAGCGAAGGATTCTGTTGGTTGTAGAACTGCTGCAATATTTGTTGCAGCAACTACCCGGTTGTGAATGAGGCGGGAGAATGTTTAAAGGAGAAGGAAAAAAGTTACCCTTGTTGAAGGAAAAAAGTTACCCTTGTTGAAGGCAAATGTTCTTGCCTCTGCAGTTGGATTCTATCCTGCATCTCGCCTAGACATCACACGGAAACTCTGTGGCAATCATTTAAATCAGTTTTCACAAGTGTGCCTCATTTTCTGGATGTCCAAATGAAGACTTTGAAGTCAGGTTACAGAGGTTCTGAGCCCTCACAGCTGCAAATGAAGTCAGCAGGCACTGGTTTTTTTGGAGTCCTATATAACGTGAAGTGCTCTCAAGAATAAAGTACTGCCTGTTTAAAACTGGCAAGGAGAATTTACCAAAACTTTTCCTCATTCTGTCTACATTTGCTACCCATTTATAATAAGATCCTTTATTTTCTGGTTAGAATTTGAAAGTGAAGCATTTAGATGATCTAAGGAGGTTTACCACAGAAATGCCCATGAGGAAATTAGAAAAATGTCTTCTCAGAATAATGTTAGAGTAGGGTTCAGTAATTAAAAGCAATAGACCTGTTCACTGAACAAGGATAAGAGAAAGTAAGGGATGCTGGCACTGTGAACACAATCCATCATTTTCATTGTATAATGCTGGAACTGTGTAAACTCTGGAGTTGTGGAAAATAAAAAAGGAACTCTGGAAACAATTATTTTTTCATACAATTAAAGACTGTATCACAAAGTAAACCAACAACTCTGATTCTTTTTAGGCAGCCTTTGTTCTGACAGTTCCCTAAACTTTGAAAGCTTGGCTTTACAGCTTTGATACAATTTTTAAACTAACTGTATGTGTGTGTATATGTGTATGATACTTGACTTTATGCATTTCATTACCGATTGAAGCAAACCCTTACTTTCCCTTTTAAATCAAGAGCCTCGAGCCAAAACGTGGATTCATTTCTAGGGTGTACAGATGCCTTTGCCTTTGTTGTTTTTGTGGCAAGCTGCCAGATCTGTCAGGATCTTTGAAATTTTCATTATTAAATTCATCATGGGAGAAACTGTAGTCATTGTTTTTTTGATGTGAAACTAGTACATTAACTTACTGCCCACCAAATTTCAGCTAACTTCGTTTCTTTTTTTAAAGCTCTTTCCTCGGTCTGTATTTGTTGTGTGTTTCAGTGCTGAGAGCTAACATTTAATACATTCTTTCTTTTTTTTTTTTTTTTTTTAACAGATCTAATTGTGGTAGTCGCCTCAATTATTGTTCTGAGCATAGGATCTAATGGACAGGTATTTGCCACCTCAGCAATAAGGTATGTTCTTCTAGTGACTGTAGCTCTTCACAACCGCAGATGTTATTAGATGTACATCTAATTTCCCAATTTCCAAATTAGAAGTAGGAAAAGTTATTATATTGAAACACTGGACAGTGGAAGACTGCGTGTTATTGTGCTTGGTCACTGGTTGAGAAAGAGTGCAGAAACAAGGCATATGAAGAATGGTGGGAATGCTGAAGCCAAGAGGAAAAAACTAAAGAAACATTATGTCCTATATAAAACATCAAACAGCTCTTTTTCTGAGACAAAAGAGTATTACAGAACATCAGTTTATTTAAGAAGTAATCCAGACAGCACTCAACTCAGTACTTTTTGAGTATGAGTAATTACTTTGTTTAAAGAGTAATTATGCTTTGGTGGATTTGTTTGGCACAAGAACTCATACCATACATGAACCAGAAACATTTGATGTCTGCACTGTTTATTCAGCTTGCATCAAGTACTGCAAGCTTGTTTTGGGAAGTAAAGTAGGTAAATAGAAGAAAGGATTGATAAGCAGAATAGGTGTACTTCCCAGTCCTTCTGACTTGCAAGATGTGCTGCATGTTCGGTTACGAACCTCTGATTTCCAATGCAGTCTCATCCCTGGGAAGTGAGAATGTACACTACTGTCTGAACTGTCTAGCTGTGTAGGCAAACACTGAAGGGAACTACATATATAAAGTATTTTTAAGGTAACTACTACCATAGAATATTAATCTTTATATGATGATAAAGACTCATACAGGCAGCATGAATGTGATTTATCAGCTCAGATAGGAGAAGAGGAGGGTGAATGTGAAAATTCCAAAGGTTTTGTTTAATTTGACTAGAAGTGTAGGAAGGACTTTAATGAAAAGGCCTGCTGAGTGTTAATGTGTGAACCCAGGTGGCTGTGGGCTCAGTGCAGCCTTTCCTAGTGTTAAATTACACAGTCACTGTCCTACGACTGAGAATACTTTCTGCCAGAGAAGCTTAACCCATGTCTCTGCAGTGTTGTTATTGCCCCGTTGAAAAACTATCTGGGTCAGGCAAGTCTTAGTCCCATCGGATTTCCTCAGAACTGTGATGTGAGGAGCTGTTTTTGAATTAAGAAGGAATGAATCTCATATCCTTGCCTTTACTTTTGTTGCTTTTAAGGTATACTGTTATGGTCCTTTTTGGACCTCCCTTAAATGCCAGCAATCCCAGAAAACATGGGTGCACACGTTAGGTTGTTTTCTTGTAGAATGAAGTTGCAAACTCCAGTCCCACCAGGTATGACAGGTTGACATTTTGATCCCTGCAGCAACCAGTGAGACTGAAACCTAGCAGGACTGCAGAGTTCACAGCAGAGCCCTATAGCTTTCTGTCCTTAGCTCACCAAATTGACAAAAATGGTCTTCTTTCCATTGTAAATCCATGGATTTCTTTTCTCTTTTTAAAGGAAACGAGTTGTCCATGCTCAGAGGCTGTGCATCTGCAGTTTCTTGTTCACTTTCTTGTTTTTCAAATCTTTATTTGTAAAACTGCCGGCCTATAACCATCTCAGATACAACAGAGACAGGAACAAGAACTGCTCTTAGGTCAAGGCATCAAGAGGTGTGTCTAATAATTGTGCAGGGGAACTGCATGTAGATCCCTCCCCTTCTGACATAAGCAACCGATGAGCTATTACATTACTTAAGTCTATTGGTGGTCACGTATTTGGTAGTCTTGTAATTCTTCTGGGACCTGTGTTAATTAACAGGTTTTAAGTGGATATTTTAAAGTTTCCAGGTAATTAAAATTAATATTCCGATGACATATCAAAGAAATAACAAACCATGGTGTTCATATACCCAGTCACTGATACGTGATTGGATAATCAGGATTATTATGTGCTTTTCAGAAAAATGACAAGCATTTGATTGTTTGACTGTCAGGTGTGAAAGCTTAGAAAACCTGCTTTCTGAATAAAGGAAAAGTTGGGTCTTTCAGAAGACAATGTACCTTCCCAGTCTGAGTAACACCAGTGACTGAAGGATGGCACCAAGCTGAGTTTCCTGCCTGTTGATGTCACCCAGAAAAATGCAGCCACAGTGGAATTAAGAAGACTGAATTAAAAAAAAAACCAACAAAACAAAAAAAGAACTAAAAATACTTTTAGTGAAAGATTTTCAGATAGATGAATTCAACGTTCATCCTTTCCTGCCCTTCACTGTTTTGTTTCAGTGATAAGATAGTAAGATGAGCGTAGGCAAAGTTCATTGTTGAAAGGGTGACTAGAACGAAATATTTTCATTGAATAAAATTCTGCTGAAGAACCGAATGGATAATTATTTTTCTTTAGTTGAAAATATTTGGAGTTTATGATTCAGTTATTGTCCTAAAATCACATAGGACTATATCTATTTCCAATTAGATGATTTCTGTAACTTACACAAAAAAGGACTTCAGTAATACCATGCTTGATTCACATTCTGCTTTTGGCAAATAGAGAAAAAAGTTTGCTCATGTTTATGTTAGCAAAGCTTGAAACACTGGTTTTGCTTGGAAAGGAAGCATTTGAGAATCATAATCAGGTAAAATATGCAAGTTTCCTCTGAGTTTGAAAGCATGTATTTTAGACTTTTGTTTTTCTTTTAAATAATGGTTGTCCTTGTCAATATTTCTGAATATATTTGAATACGATTAAATGTGATGAAGACATACTGTCTACTGAGATGCCTCAAGTCTAAGATGCAACCCTCGCCAGCGGCAATGCTATCATGGTTCTAATATGTCAGTGAGCATAGTCAACTGTGTGTAGATAGAGCAGTGTTGTTCTTAATCATTAGTTTTATTTAATGACCTGTTTTTTTACAGAGGAATCCGATTTCTCCAGATACTTCGCATGCTTCATGTAGATCGACAGGGTGGCACATGGCGACTATTAGGATCAGTTGTTTTCATACATCGTCAGGTACTATATCTTTAATGATCCCCAGCATTTTGTTTACTTTAGTATATTATTTTCCTGGACTCCAAATCATAGTCTGTTTTTTCTCTAGCAAGAGAAAAAATTCTTTAAAAGTCCATGCTATGTTTCTTTCTGCTATTCTTTACTTCATGTCAGTGGCTAACACAAGTTTGGATTTTTTAAATTAACTATTGTACTCTTTGATGTTATCCTTCAATATAATTTATTAAATGCAGTTATGTGGGCTGCCTTTCATATTGCAAATACTGTCCACTCTCTTCACAGATGTGTTCCTAGCTTGGTCTGTGGAAAAATGAATACTAGTGGAAAAGTCTTGATAGAACAAGTCAATTATTTAAATAATTCTATTTCCTCTGCCTGGATAAGGAGTTTTCTAATCCATTCTATAACTAAAAATGCTAACTATGTTATGATAATATGCAAGAAAAGTTACTTTGCCAAGGGTGTAGTCACAGAGGTAAACTTGGCTGTAGTTACATGTCCATTAAAGCTTTGAAACAGTTATTCTGTGTAAAAGTTCATTAAGCAGGACAAGCTTAAATGTTTTAGTGCAGACTTTTAAAAATTTCTAGTTGAAGGCTTCTTTTTGGGGCTTCATGGAATCTCTTGGTGAAAAGCCAACTTTGCTTTATGAACATAATAATAAACTTTTATCATTAGCCTTTAAATCTTGCCATATCCTGCCATACTGTGGAGGGCCAACACTGTGCTATGAATCTGTACATCAGACTTGTAAGGGTGGTTCTTTAACCTACTCTTCATGAGTGTAGATTTGTTCTCCAGGTATTGACAAATAGTTACAAATTTTCATGCAGGTATTGTTTCAGTTGCTATTTAGAAAACTGTTTTTCTGGGGCAGATAATGGGAGGTACTTAATCCAAAAGATTAATTTTACATTAAAAGTTACTTTTCTTCTCTTTCTTTTTTCCCCCTAATGCTGTAGGAAATTTTATGTCATGATGGCTGTGCAGCATTGATGCACACCAAAGTGCTCTAGTATAAAGCCTGCTTTCATCCTGTACAACAGAATGACTTTTAATGCTCCGTTTGTGTGGTCTTCATTTGTTATGGTCACATTGCCTGGATATCTAGCTAGGGCAGAGCTGATATCCAAATGCACTTTCTCAACTTTTGCTAACCTTACTGACAGAGGTGTTTGAGAGAATTTTTTCCTGTGGGTGTTCAGAGTTTTAGTCAAGAATCTGGAAATACTATCTCCAAAATATAACACTTAAGTCTTAAATGTCACAAACATAAATAAGTTCAATGATTTAAAAGGAAAAAAAAACACCCTTGGAGAAGTGAATTTATGAATAAACGCACCTGAAGTTCTGCTAATCCAAAGAAGTGATTATGATGATATATAAAACTCTACAGATCTGTAGTACTTGTCAAAGCAGATCACCCACTAACACATTAATAAGAAAAAAAATCAAACATACAGTTCTGTATTGACATTGGACAAGTGTAGCTGAAATCCTAGCATGGTACCAAATGGAAGGGAAAATGGAACATTTGTTCCTGTCCAGTCTCTTAAAGAAATTTTTGTTTAAAAAACCCAAACCAAAACAAAAACACCTCAGCTGCTTTTGCTTTACAGGCAGAAACAAGGTCCTCATTTATTTGTTGAGTTTGGTACTCTTTCAGAAAAAATGGGACCCTAAACCCTTAAACAATGTGAGAAAATAAATTCACATCTTTGTGACCTGTGAAAATAACAAGCACTTGGACCTCTGTGGCCCCAGAAGGGCTTACTAAAGTTGTCACCAATGATTTCCATGTGTTTTGGAATTTTACATATGGCTGTATTAGCTCACTCAGGCCCGATTTGGCTAGGATGCTCTTCTATTTTCAGCAGGTTGAGCTTATATGAGCATTTCTCGCCAAAAGCAACAAAACATGAGTCAATATCACATGTGGTGATGGAAAGACATGGAAAAATCATGCAGCTTACTGAAAAATGGAGTTAGCCAATCCAGCTCCAGCTTGTAAGCCTCTCAATTAGTTTTACTTATTCCTCACATTGCTTTGTGAGGTCTGAGGAGGCAGTTACTGATGACTTGTGGATTTGGGGTTTTCTTGCATTTTTCCTAAGTGTTGGATTTTATATTGTGTGGTCCTTATAGCAACTGAAAATATAAATCTGCCTAAGTTACAAAAATGTGTTGACTCAAGTCTCTCAATATTCAAATTTACCTTTGTGCATATTTGTTTTTTTGTTCTTGCTGTTTCCTTTGCAAATGTGTATTTGAAAGTCCTTGCCAAAACCGGTCATGTATTAGGCAGCACTCTTTATTCTTAAGCTCTTAGCTATTAAAAAATCATATAAATGTGACGTTTTAAAGCCTGATTTCTGCCAAATGCTCTTTGCTTTGAGATCATGTATCAATTAATACTATTTGACATTGGTAGACACCAATCTATCCATATTTCTTGAAGCATGTATTATTTTAAAATCTTCTGCGTCCTCTCTTAAATGTGGTATGTATTAGCTTGCTGCCATTGTTTTTAATAATGAAATATAGGTATGTAGTATTTTGTCTTTCTATACGTATGTAACATGGAGTGACATTGAGAATAAGTCTTAGGCAATTATATTTTCATCTGGGCTTTACTTAAAAAGGGTTCAGTCTTTAGATGAATAGGACTGGAAGCTGAGAGGTGCCAATGGTGCAATAAGCGGAGTGGTTCTGTTGGTATTTCAACCATTTTGAAAGAATCTCATAAGACTCTGCATAGCACTTCTGAAAAGCATATTTTTCTGCCCACTTCTCAAAAAGCCAGCACTTAGCACAGAAGTATTCCAATTATTATCCACTTTCTGATTCTGTCCTCTGAGACAAAATTAAAGGAAAGCAGTGATGGCCATTCCTCAATAACATGTAAACGCTATTAATACCTGAGATGTAAGCAACATGCCAAGTGTAACTAACAGATTTGTGTTGACGTGGAAGGAAGTTGCAAATCTACTAGAGATGAGAGTAGAGTGTTTTCTTTGTAAGCAGGCAACAGGAATTAGTCTCCATTTCTGTTGCAGTTTGCTATGGATCACTGAAATTCCAGTCTCAGGTGTTAAACAGTTTGGTCTTGTATTGAAAAAACACTGTGTAGGCAAACCAAAAAGTTGTGAAAAAGTAGAGAAATGCAAATAGTCAACTATAAATGTAAACACAAGGGACTTTTCAGAGCAATGAAGTCCTATCTACAAGTACATAGTCTACCGTTATCGGTAGAGGAAAAGACGAGAAAAGAATGGTGACTAGCATAGAAATCTCAACTACCAAACCCCCAAGGTTTATTTCCTCTTTCAGCTGCCTTGTTTAGCAAACAGGCCTGCAAAAAGTTAAGGCTTAGATTAAAAGACTTGCCCATGGGCAAAACTGAACACTATCAAAATTCATTATTTAGGTCATTATTAAATGATAAGAGAAAAAACGCCTACTTAGCTTTGTGCCAAGATTGCTTAAAAACTTGCTGAACCTGGATTTTAATTAGTGCTATAGCAGAAGGAAGAGTATATATAGTTCCTGCTGCTCAATGCAGTTACTAGCTACCACGGCTACATTTTCCGAGAAAGCTCTTACAAGGAAATGAAAAATAAATAAAAAAAAAATCTGAAGGAAGTTTGATGATAAAACCTGAGCCTTCCCTCACAAATGGTTTAAGAGACGTGGGTAGAGCGTTACAGAAAATCCATGAAAACCTGACATACTTTATCAGTGGAGGCAATGCTTCTTAGACAGGTTTTAATTTTAAATTTATCTTATGGGATTATTTTAATTCCCATATTGGTTTGGATCCAAGGAAAGAAAAATAACGCTGTCAAGAGTTTAAGGAAGATGCCAATGAAGATGTAATACAACAGCGTTTCATAATAAAGATGGCTAAATATGTGCAAAGAAAATAAAGGAATAATAAGTGTTAACTATTGAAGCGTTGTAAACTTTAATTAATTAAAATAAGCTATTTTCCCTCATAACTAGGTATTGGATTTTCCTGAGGGGTCGGTGAATATCTCATTTGATTACGATGTAGTGCTGCTTTTATAAGCTTTACACATTTTTGCATCTGTGACACCACACATTTTGACTTGTTTAAATGTGCAAGCACATTTTTCGTGAAGACTGTTAACGATCCTGTCTCTAAGTCACATCAGTTCTGTTAAAACTTTCCTATCCAAAAATCTAGAGAGAAACTGGTACAAGGATTGTATCATGCCCTAACAAAAGTCCCTTCTGATAAACTGGCCTAGCCTCAAACAGTCTGTTTTTCAGGAGGTTACACCTACCTAACATATTTTATGTTAAGATTTTATTTTATCTTAACATGAAACTGTTAAGGCATCAATATTCAGTCTTAAGCAAGCTAAATATCAGATATACAAGTTCATTGCTTAGATGTGGTCATAATCACATGGTTGTTGTTTCTTAACTCTTATTTTAGCATACTGTTCGTAAAGTGCATTTCTAAAGCTGTCTTACTATTTTCAAAATATATTAACATTTGGTATTTTGAATGGACACTTAAATGGAATGATTCCCATTCACAACACATAAAACAGGAGAGGTGTCTCACCCTGCATTTAGCTGTCCAAATGATCTTGTATAAATGCTGGCTTCTTGAATTCTTTAGTCTCATATGAACAGAAAACAAGTCACTGAACTACTTCTTTTGCTAGAAGCAAATTTGATACCTGAAATATAACTTACTAATTTTTCTACTGTGATGCGATGCAAAAAGCCCCCAGATATTTACAATGTTTTAGAACAATAGAATATATATGATGTAAATCTTATGTGCTTGTTTGCTTTCTCTTTTAATAGGAACTCATAACCACGTTGTACATTGGATTCTTGGGATTAATTTTTTCATCCTATTTTGTTTATCTTGCTGAGAAGGATGCCGTTGATGAGGATGGAAAGACAGGTTTTTCCAGCTATGCTGATGCTCTTTGGTGGGGTGTGGTAAGTCTTTACAAATGCGTGCGCAAACGTAGTGCACAAGATTTTCTGTTGAAGTTGTGAGCTTTTTAAAAAAGCTGGCATTTCTTTCTTTGCAGAATGTATTTCTGTAGGGAAGCTCAACAACCTTTTAGAAAGAACACAAGAAAAAATGTAATAAATACAATTACATTACTTTGGTATTAAACTTTATTGTGAAAGCATGATAGCAAGTCCTTAGCAAAGGACATTAAATGTTTACAGATACAAAAAGTCCACACTGAAATCCACATTTCAAAAAGACTATAAATACCCTCCAAAACCTATAACACTTCTTTTAAACTCTACCTAGTTATCTGCAAAAGGTGCATAATTTTAAAAGTATATTCTATTTGTGGAAATTGAGTAATAACTCTGTTTTTTGGGGGGATCTTTTTGTGTAAAGCTCACTCTCTCAGTAATAATGCAGACATTGATGCAGGTTACAGGCTCCTGGGTTTTTTTAATAATTCCATGATTCACTGTAAAGGTAAATAGCTCCGTCAAAAGCAGCTGGAAACCGCTTTGGGTCTCAATCATCAGTCAGAGTCAGTACAAATCTTTGGTGAAATAAAGAAAAAAATACCATTAAGGGGGAACTGGGATTTTGAGAGCATGGTGGTGATTATTGTGTGCATGCCCAGAATCAATTGAAAAAGGAATAGATAGCTATGAACAGAATAAGAAACCAGATTGTTTCTCCACTCCCTTCATATGGCTCTTCTCATCATGTTTCTCACTGTGACTCATGCTTTCCTTCCTTATTAGCTGTTGCACGAATCATCTCTTCTCTTGTGGTCCCTTTTCCCCACTAGAAAACTTCATCTATATTTTATGAGTTGGCTGTCTCATTATAACAAACCCAAGGAGATCCATCACATCAGTGTTAGTGACAGAGAAAAATGAGAGGACTAGAACAGATGCAGGGCCACCAACTTCCAGGGAGAGAAGCATATATTTCAAGAGTGATCTGAAACATAATAAACTGGGTTTGATTTTAGATGATATGCTTGAAAAATGCCAATATAGTTATTGGACCATAAACCAATTGTTTATCTGCATCCAAATAAACTGGTGAGTAAGCCTGGGAAGGCAGATAAAAAGTTCCTAATAGATATATGTTTCTAATCCTTAACTTAGATGCTGCATAAGCCTCTACTTCCATGAAGTATACGGAAATATAGATTATATTACACGTAGCCTGAGTTACCACTTTTTAAGTGGTTCAGTATAAAAATCTTTTAAACATTAAATTCCTGTCATCGGGTTGTCAGGTGTTCATTTCATTTGCAGAGTATCACCTGTGGCTGTGCAAAACAGTACAAACCAAGGAGAATCTAGTAAAAAAGAAAAATCCACTAAATGGCCAGATGGACCTGGTTATCTAATGTGCTGGGAAGAAACAAAAGCATGAACTAGCCCATACAACAATCACTTGTTAAAGTCCTCAATAGACATCTGATAAAATTTTCAGAACATAAAACCTCATGGTTATAGACATGAGATAACCTCTAGCTAGTGGAGGAAAATTATAAATATCCCAGAAGCACAAGTTGTGCTATATTTTAAAAGCAATGGTAAAACAATTAGGGTGTAATTGATGTTATGAAAGGTACCCCATGTCTACTTTAAGAAAACAAACCAGTACCCAGGCTCACTTATTCTGCTATTATTTGAGCAGTTCAGCTCAAATACCAGTGTTCAAACGACTGGACGCAGTGCAGCGCAGCTACTGCTTCTGTTTTTATGGACGGTCTAGCTGAATAGTCTGTGAAGTATATCTGATTAAAAGTGGGGCTGCTTGTGGGAAGTTTAGCAGCAGTAGGGGCTCCCGTAAAAGTTTGTGCTAGTTCAGCTATACCTATGAGAAATATCTCCTAAATTTTTCTAGCATAGTGAAGTTCCAAAGAGGTTTGTAGTAGCATGTGAATGAGAATGACACCAGCGAAAGAAATGGAAAGCATGTAGTTTATTAATAAGGAGGTCTTAATTTAGTATGTAATCATTAAAGGATGGTGATTCATGTTAGCTCTGCACAATATCTTTGGTGTTTGATAAAGTCGTTCCTAGGCCTGTAACTGCTAAAGGCCAGAAATGCCCAAATTCAGACGGGAATGGGAGGGAAGAAGAACCCCTCATCAAACCGAGGGGAGCAAGGTGCAGTGGAAAACGAAGCAGGATTTTCAGCAATCAGTTTGAGAACTAGCTATGGGTTTTAGCATCCGGTTCTGCCTGGGTATATTCACGCATGGGTTATTCCTGCATGTTATAAAACTCCTGTGTGAAGCCAGTGTACTTTTTCTACCTTTCCTTCTTTTTTTAGTTTTTTAGTTCTAGTTATCCGGAGCTTCCTTTATGAGTTGCATTGACTGTTTAGATACGGATTACAAAATAATTTTAAACACTAGAAGCTACAGCCTTGATTTGATTAAAGAGTAAAAAATTAAGGTCAAAAAACTCAGGATGTGTTTATACAAGCATATTTTGTTAGTATTTTGGACTTAAGGAATTTAAAAGGAGTTCAGTTACGAAGACCAACAGATAAGTTTAAAATGTGCATTACTTTACCTTGTTGCGATAGATGACTTGGAGTCTGTGTTTCAAAGTGTAATTATGTGCCTGGCGAAGTGTTCAATGGGTTTTGTTGTTGTTTTCCGAAACTTGACTTGTTTTGTGTAATAGCAAGATAAAATCAGCTTTGTCTTTCTCTAGCTGTGTGAGGCACATGAAGAACACTGTTGAAATTGTTGTTTAAGCTTTTCAGCCGTCTCGGCCTCCTCAGCATTAGTGAGTCACGGTGCAGGTGCAGTTCACAGCTGGGAACAGTGACAAAGGACAAAGTGAATCACTTGCTTTTTCTTTTCAAATCTTCTGTAACATAGAAACACAGATGTGGAGTTACCAGGGAGTGAAACTTGATTTCACTTTTTGCCTTTCAAAACTGAACCACAGGGAAAAAGAAAAGCTTGGTAGCAAGTATTTGAACGTCTTATGTGTCTGACAAAAACCACAGAGTGTATTATAGGTAACATTTTGCTTTGAGTAGAAAGTGCAAGCTTGCTGAACTTGATACAAATGGCCTGTAAGGTTTAAATATGAAGAAAAGGGAAAATAAAGAACGAATGAGAGTTGGAATGAAATCCTAACTACATTCTCCCGTTCCAGTTAAATGCAAGGTTGTTTCACCTAGATTTGGCAGGTACACAGATTAAACTGCAAAGAGATATCAAAGGCTTGTGGTATTTTATATGAAGCCACTTTCAGAAGTTATATCATGTTAGAACAGATGCAAAAGCATTTCCAACGTCACTGTCAGTCTGCCAGAATTGCAACCCGTGTCACAGCAGTTTTTCTGTCCTTTCCGGGTATTTTTTCTTGAGGAAAGAAGAAGGACATGTAGGAGGCTTCTCTTCTGTTGTCCCTCCCGTGCTCATCTCATGCTGTTGGTAATACTCGTTGGTTTTGCTGCAAACTGGACTACTCTGTGCCATTGAACTTGAGGTAACTAGTTGCTCCAGTAAATTGGTGTTAACTGGCAGAGGTACTTGGGACCAATTGCTCAGAATTTCCGGTAGTAAAATCCCACGCCAGAGGTAGCAATTTGAACCCCTTTACATTTAATATGTTTTGTGAGGTGTGCAGTTCTCACTCTTCAAACTTCAGGACACCTGCCATTCTTAAAGCATGTGAAAAGCTCTGTTGACTTTTACTAAATTAGAATTCTTCCTTTTTTGAAGTGTACATCTACATTTTCAGAGCCTGTCTTAGAGCCTGTGCATACCAGCTGGAATGTGCCATAGTAAATCTGTGTAACAAAGGAGATGTCATTTTCCAAAGCCTAGTTATTAAACATTTTCTGAGCAGATAACTAATAACTTTTAGATATACAAGTAGAAAAAGATTCTGGTTATGGTTAAGAAAGCCGGAGAATGACATTATTTGTAATCCTTTCCACATACTTCAATGCACTAATTAGATTACCAAGAAGGAACCCTCTTAAGGTAGCCAGGGAGAAACTTTCTGAGGCATGTTCAGGCACCTGCGGGAATCTGCCAGCTAAATGCCTGCTGTAGAGATGGAAAATCATCTTTTCTGTGGTTACAGCTTTCATGCTGTCTTCCATAGTAACACTAAGGCAGCTCAACATTACTGCAGTTTGTTTTTAAGTCCTGAGCGCTGGAGAACTAAAAAAAAAACCCCAAAGAAACAACCCCACAAAAAAAACAAGAAGCCTTTCATAAGAAAAAAAGAGAGGAAAAGGAAGGAAAAATCCCAGACTTTAAGGGGTCATCTGGGTGCACTGAGGCACTGAAGTGCTGTTAAAGAAACTGCTTTAACTTCCTCCGCTCCCCACTAACACATACTGCATTTCAAAGTTGAATTTTGGGGGGTCTGGTTTAATTTTGGGGGCTGGCAAACTTATCTGTTTGTATTGCTGGTAGGGCACAGCACCCATGTCACTTCACAGGCAAGCCACATTAAATCTGGACAAACAGCTGGCAAGACAGAGCTCCTGCTGAGAGCAGTTTGCAGTTCAAAATAACAATATTCATTAGAGGGTATAGATACTACAAAGTTGACTTCATCAAGTGGGAAATTCACGATGAGTAAACACAAGCCTAATTTTTTTTCAAACTTGGAAAAACTCAGTTTGATAGTGGTTGGTCATTTTTTCCCCTGCAAATCTTCCTTCCAGCTGTCTGTAGAACTGCTCTGACAGGAGGAGGAAATATGTTCTTCCCATGCCTTTATTGCTGATAGTTTCTTTTGAGAAGCCTATTTTTGCATAACTGAGTATTTGTCAGCAACTTTTCCCATAAAAGGCAGTATTTCCACATCCTCTTTTGTAGTCAGTGTAAATTTACGTATTCTTTTAAGTCTGTTTTGGCTGTGTTTTTGCTACCATTCAAGGCAAAATGAAGGGAGTGGGACTAGGTTTAGAGCTGGTCCTCCCAAATAGAAGTACATTTTTTTCTATTTAAAGCTCTCCCCAGTCATTAGTATTGGTGACAG